TAACATGGTGATTTAGGGATAATAGCATGAATTGGGAAACATTGATTTTAAGGTAAATCTGGAAACAGTTGAAGGAAACAGGAAGGGTGGATAGAAGTTAATTCAATATTTACTTACACACAAAGTGCCTTTCTTTACCAAAGTTGTTGGCAAAAATCTGCTCATAAAGTAATTGGGTTACTTTGGTGTGTCTGTACTAACCATCATCAGGTATCTTCTACACAGCTTTTCACAGTAAGGATTCAGGGTCATCTCCAAACTTCTGTGTTTATTTTCTCTTATTAAACATCTGAGCGGTTGTCATTTACTGAGCCTTCTGAACAGTTTGGCATGTGCTTTCTTCTTAGGTATGCCAAATCATGACTGTATAGTATAATACCAATGAAAGAAGTCAGTATTATCTGTGTTTTACAGATGAGGACGCTTTGGGCCAGAGGGGTTACATCCTGTTGGACAGACTTGAATTGAAACTATGCTCTGCCCTTGGCATTTCTCCTTCTCTAGAGATGAGGCTCAGTGTTCTGAGTGGAGGGCCACTGTGGGGATGAGATGAAATTCAATGTACATCTCAGTGCCTGGCCTCCAAGAGGTACTGGTCACCTCTCCTTTCAATGGTTGCACATCTAGAAATTCATGTCTTGCCTTGGGTAGTGTATTCAACAGCTTTAAAAGCAGCTGTTTCCAGGAAAATAACGTAGTGTGGTATGGAATTTTACAATGAAGAAGTAGACAATCCTTTACTTCTATGGAGAGCTTTATACTTTTCACCCTCCCTTCATTCCTTCCCACCCACTGGCACATTTGATTTTTCAGAAAATAATGGAATATCTCGGTTGATTTCTTTAGATTGAGTTTCTCTGGAATACTTAGTATCTTCTGTAGATCTTGAGAAATGCAATCCAAGAAATGCCATGGGAAGAAAGGCTCTAGCCTTTGTCTTCCCTTCTCTCCAGTCCTCTTTAGGTAGTCGGCCTCTCTCCTCCTGGGTGTCTGTGTGTGTGTGGCCAGAGTAGTGGGCAAAGAGCGGCGTGTGTCTGGTAAGGGTGGCTAGCACAGAAGCAATATGCTACCTTGCTTTAGAAAAGAACACTTCATTTTTTTCTCAAGCTTATGACAAAAATCATCCTGCATGTTTTCATTTATACTGAAACTACACACTTCCTGGAGTGATCTGAACTGAAATCTTAAAAAGGCCAGAGAAAGGCGACCCCAGTATGCCATCTGGCACACAGTAGGGGCTCCACAAACATTTGAAGTTGCTGCTGTGTGAACTGTTCTCTGCCAATGCTGAAAACGCTATAATAATTCCTGAAAGTCCCTCAAAAGGCCAGCCTAGCCTCATTCCTAGGCTAGCTCCCCACGCAGGCAAGACTCACATCTCAAATGATTGATTAGTTCAGAGGTCACCCAGGTGGGTAGGTTTTGGTCTGGCCTGCCAGGTTTCAAAACACATTTGGAGTTAACATTTAAAGCCTGAGAGATATATGTATTAACAGCTGGCTTGCTGCAATAAGCACCATTAGGACCTTTCTGGGAACCCGTGTTGGTGCCTGGATTATAATTTCTAGGACAAATTGCAAATTCAGAAGTCCCGTTTCAGTTAGCTGTGTCAGGTGTTAACCTAATCTTATATAGGACACATACTCAACAAAAAACAGAAGGTGCAAAATGTGTGATGACAAAGATCAAACCCCAGCCCTAAAATTTCTCACTCCTTCAGAATGTGTGGCATACCTGTCATGGATGTGCAAAGCCCCAGTCCTCAACTCCTCCATTTCATAGGCTCTTGCTGACTGAAGGCAAGCAGACAGACCACCCATCCCTTTATCAATAATGCTTGACAAATGCCCCCACATCAGAACTCACAAGAAATTCTTAATGTGAGCAGGAAAGTAAGAACTAAAATCCCACTGATTTAAAAATTTGGTATTTAGAGAACACCATTTAGGATCTCACAGTAACTAATGAAATGGGAATAAAATGCAAGTGATTTTTACTTAATATTTTTAAAATATAATATTGAGAGTCATCCCACTTTAAAAGCAACCCCAGGTTGGGTGTTTAAGTTTAAGCTGCTGCTTGGGATGCCTGCATCCCGTAGCTGAGTGCCAGTTGGAGTCCCTGCTACTCTGCTTCTGGTCCAGCTCCTGGCTAATACGCTTGTAAAACAGAAAAAGATGGCCCAAGTCCTCACCACCCTGCCACCCACATGTCATACCCAGGTGCAGTTCCTGGCTCTTGGCTGTAGTGGCTATTTGGGGAGTGAACCTGCAGATGGAAGATATCTTTCTATGTTACTCTGCCTTTCAATAAAACTAATCATAAGAAAAACCAATATAATAAAATCACCCACTGGGTCAGGTGTTTGGCATAGTAGTTAAGTGCCATTTGGGACACCTGACCCATACCAGAGTCTTGATTTGAATTCACTTCCTGGTAAAGCACAAGTGGGAGGCAAGCAGATGATGGCTCAGTGGTCTTGGGTCCTTGCCATCTATGTGGGAGACCTGATTGAGTTCCAGGCTCCTGGCTTTAGCCTGGCCCAGCTCAGGCTGTTGCAGGCATTTGGGGAGCGAACCAACAGATAAAATATCTGTCTCTCTCTCTCTCTTTTTTCAAATAAACAACTGAATAAAAAAAAAACATTTAAAATCTTAAAAAAAAAAAAAGGGAGGCTGGCGCCCGTGGCACATTAGGTTAATCCTCTGCCTGCGGTGCCGGCATCCCATTATGGGCACCGGTTCTAGTCCTGGCTGCTCCTCTTCCAGTCCAGCTCTCTCTGCTGTGGTCTGAGAAAGCAGTGGAGGATGGCCAAGTCCTTGGGCCCCTGCACCCACATGGGAGACCAGGAGGAAGCACCTGGCTTCTGGCTTCTGATCGGCGCAGCTCCGACCGTTGCGACCATTGGGGAGTGAACCAACAGACTGAAGACCTTTCTCCCTGTTTCTCCCTCTCACTGTCTGTAACTCTACCTCTCAAATAAATAAAATCTTAAAAAAATTTTTTTAAATAAAATTACCCCTAAAGAGGTAGCTGAACCTCAAATTGATGCCACCTTCCTCCTGGATTATCCCTCTCACCTGCTGGTTCCACGTGGCCAAATGACGTCAGAGCCCCACCCCTTTCCCTTGCTGCTCAATGGGCACTTCCATCCCTGACGTGGGCCCTCCAACAACCCTTCCCTACTTATCTTTCTCACCTTTCCTCCACATATCTCAAAGGTATCTCAGTAGTAAGTACTGTATAAGAGTGGTAATAAACATTTATTGGGCACCTCCTATGTGACAGACAATTCTAACTAACAGAAGGAGGTCCACCCACACAGGAACCACAACAGTCATCTGGGGCTTGCAGTGTGGAGGTGAACAGGGATGGGAGGGGGGAATGCCTGAGGGGAAAGGGTTCTGGATCCGTGCTTGTGGGCCACGCAGTCTGTGAGGCTCCTTCCAACGGACAGTCCATGACTACCGCTGCTGTGTCCCCCGCTTTACTGGGGCATGACTGACAAACAGAACTGCTACGATGTTTAAAGATGCAAAATGTATAGGAGCCTTCATTGCGTGCTAAATGGCAAAGGAACTTTTCTCTTTGAGGTGCTCTCCTATTTCGCATTAAAAGGAGACAGCTCAGATTAATCCTGTGGAAAACCACGCCTCTTCGAAACAGTCCCCTCTTCACCAAATCAAAGACCCCCACCCCCGCTTGCGCGCTCTCTCTCCCTCTCTTCTCTCTCTCCAGCTGAACTAGAGTTGCTACCCCATTGCCAGTGAGGAGCGGAATCAAGCCAGAGGGTTAAACCCTGCCAGTGTAGAAATGCATTTTTCTCCAGGGAGCCTTCCAGCGGCAATTTTCTGTAGGAACGTGTGTCATGAAGATCCACCGCAAGGAGGTTCCACGGACATAACCCCAGTGGCAGTCGCTGACGTGTGCCCAGCCAGGAGACCTGGCAGAACCGGAGTCGGCTCAGCCCACCACCCACTCTGCCTTCGCTGACATCTGCGGAAGAAAAGGCGCGTCTAGAATCGCTCTTGGGGAAAGAGAAGAGGTTTCCTATCTCTGATCCCAGCTGCCGCTCCGCACAGGCTCCGCAAGTTTCTGGGGCGGGGGTCTCTCCCAGGCGCACCCCCAACGCGCCCAGGTTCGCGGAGGCGCGGGGCTGAGCCGGACCGGCCGGCGAGGGCTGCCCCGGGAATCCCGGACCCAGCCGCGCCCTCCGGCTTTCCCCTGGCGCGCGCCCTCCTCTTCCTCCTCCGGCTCCTCTTCCCCGCGCCCGCGCCTCCTCCCGGGGCGGCTGGGACCCGAGGCCCCGGGGGCGGGGGAGCAGCGCGGTCGGAGCCGAGGGGAGGGCAGGCCAGCTCGGAGCCTACCGTCTTCTGCTTCTTGACCCCCGACATGCTGGCAGGCGGCGGTGGCGGCGGAGCCCGGGTGCTGAGGCGGCGACGCGAGGGCTCACGGATGGCGGCGGCGGCGGCGGCTGCTGGACTCCCGGGAAGGAGGTATAAAAAGGCTCCGCAGACACGTCGCACTTCCCTTGACCAGCCCCCTTCTCCTACTCCTCCTCCCGTCGCTCCTCTCCGCCCCGTCGGCTCGGCCAGCTGCGCCCAGCCCCTGGGACCCGGCCGCCGCCTGGGCGGGGTCCCTGGCCCGGCCCCTTCCTCACGGGCTCGAGCCCCTCCGACCGCGTCCCGAGCTGGACCCAGCAGTCGGAGCCGCAGACGGGCGCCCGCAGCGCGCCTTGGGGGGGAGGGGGTCAAGTTCGCCCCCGCCTTCTCCTCCCCAGAGGGTTCCCAGAGCGTCCTCCACCTCCCACCCCACCCTGGCGGCCTCTTCATGGAAGCCTCCCTGCCTCTGGGTCCCAGGAGCGTATCTGGTTGAGGGTAAAGGTGCTTGAAGACGCAGGGGTCGCTGACACGGTGCTAAGAGGGCACCGACGTGCGGCTCTCCGTGTGCAGTAAGGAAAACCCGTTTGCCCTGTATTGATCCTGACTGCACTCTGCTGGCCTTGGCCTTAATCCTCACATGTGTGCCATCCTACCTCAGGCAGCAAGTCCTGCGTTCTCCCTATTTTACAGATGAGGCAGCTGAGGATCTCGGACCTTGCCAAGATTACATTCCAAGTGAGGGGATTCACACGCAGGCTGTCAGCCTCTACAGGGCAGGCTTTCCACACCATCACCCACAGCCTGCTCACGGTGCACCAGGCCTCGTGCTAAGCAGGGTACATGCATTCATTCCTAGCCAGCTCACAACAAAGATGCAGACAGGCCAACTGAGACCCTCACTGGGCACCCATTCTTACAAAGTCAGTTAAGCAAGGTCAGCCTCAGGCAGTGGCTGATGGTAGCCTAGAGACTTCTGCCAGTCCATCCTGGAAAGTAGTAAGAATACTGTGTGTTCAGCAACTGGGACAGACCCCGTGGAGAAGCGAAGAAAGCAGACGCCAGTTGAAGAGGCCCATGGCCCAGACCCTAGGGCTCCAAGGTTCTATCAGGTGTCAGTATGAGGCAGCCCTTTGAAAGAATGCAAATGTCAGGGACAAGCAGAGGTAAGGAACACAGAGAGCTATAGCGACAAGCACTTTGTGGACTGCCACTGGCTTCCTACCCTCTGCCATGCCCAAATCGATATGGCAGTTATCTTCAGAGGAACCAAGCAGACACACAAGAGCCATACTTGTAAACTCTGGTCTTCTTTCTATGCAAGGGCTGGAGAAGCTACATTGTGAGGAGGTGAGAGATGGAACTTTTTCTTTGATACCCAATTGTATTTCTGCCAGCTTTCCAGACCTGAAGATGGGGTATTCATTTGGACTGCCTCATCCCCATAGGAAAGTGCATTGAAAAAATAAACCAGGAGTCAAAATTGAAAACGCAGCCTGCATATTCGTAGAATCTTGAGGTGGCACTCTACTTACTATCTTATTCATTTTAAGTTAATCACCAATTGTGAGCAGCTAGGGGGCAAATGCTGGATTGGAGTTTTTGTTCTGCATACAAACTAGCCTATTCTGAACTTACGTGAAGTTTAAATAGCAGCATCCTGTTCTTGTTTTATTGGAAAAAGTTCTTTTACATGAGTTCCAGCCCTATCTCAGACCCTGCAAGACCCCGCCCTAAGAGTGGTAAATGAAGTGTGGATTGAGAAATCATGCTATTTGCATGATTGCTGTGTTTTTTCATTTTTCATTTTTTTAAAAGTTGTATCCTTGAGACAGAAGGAAGTTAAGGGCAAATCCCTAAGGGCTACTTCCTGGAAAAGAAATATATGGTTGTTTCTATCTGGGAAATACATGACTGTTGAGACTGCTTTGTCCAATTTCCCTATCCTTATATCTTACATAGGAGCAAAGTAAAACAGGTGCTCAGAAAAGGGAGGTAATCTGACCACAGTTACTAGGTAGAGGCAGAAATGAGACACAAACCTCGGTGTGCCAACGCCCCAAGTGCTCTGACGACTGAATCACTCAGCCTCTAGATTTAATTCATGCTCAAGGAATATTCTGAAACAACTTGTTTTTCTTTTTGTCTTTTACTATTTCGAAGACTTGTGAAATTGGAGTTCTCGGCTTCCTGGGATCTGCAGCAGGGTTGTTGGTGACCATTTTCTATCACAGATCACCAGCTTAGTCATAATTCAGCATGGTAACTTATTGAAAAGTAATAACAAAAATTCGTTCTTACTTTCCGGTGTGTGTGGGGGGGGTGTCATTCTTTTTAATGGCTTGAATTTTTTTTCCTCGAGCTACCCTCTTGGTCCTAGGAGAGGACACTCCTTCTGAAAACACATGAACAACTGGAAACTTGGTTTTTAGAGTCTGTGATTCTGGCACCTGGGAACTGGGAGAAGACTCACTGTTCAAGTGGCTACATCCTCCATAACTTCCCACCGGTGTTCCTTCAGGACTCCCCTGTAAAACACCGCCCACTACACTGTAGCAACTGATAATCCTCAACACCACTGGCAATTATCTACCTGAGGGCTGTGCCCCTCCACCACCAGCACCACTGGCCCTATTTTCTTTTCTTTCTTCCAGAAACTGGCTAGGCTTCAATAACCTAATGTAGTAGTGATCACTGAGTGATCCTTTTGTTTAGGAAAGTGGGAATTGGTCACTTCTTCCAAATAAATGGGGACAACACAAAGAATGTTAGTGTTGGGGAGGTGCAGTGCATGTTGGTGGAGGTTCACCATATTTTTGGGGAATCTAGCATGGAAGCATTGCCCAGGGATGGTAGTTATAAAGGAATGCAACTACATTGCCCCCTAGTGGTTGTAATGCATAAACGTTAAAAAGAAACCTAATTGTTTAAAGCCCCCTGTAGAAAAATGGGCAGCATTCCATTGAGCAAAGTCTCACTTGGTCAAAGACCTTTAGCATCCAGACACTCTTCCCAGCACAGGTGCCACCACAATGAGCAAGACATGGCCCCTGTTTTCAAGAAACACACACTATAGAAGGAAACAATATCGCTCACTAGGCTAATCCTCCGCCTGCGGCGCCGGCACCCTGGGTTCTAGTCCTGGTCAGGGCGCTGGATTCTGTCCCGGTTGCTCCTCTTCCAGTCCAGCTCTCTGCTCTGGCCTTGGAAGGCAGCGGAAGATGGCCCAAGTCCATGGAACCTGCACCCGCGTGGGAGACCAGGAGGAAGCACCTGGCTCCTGGCTTCGGATTAGTGCAGCGCGCTGGCCATAGTGGCCATTTGGGAGGTGAACCAATGGAAGGAAGACCTTTCTCTCCGTCTCTCTCTCTCACTGTCTAACTCTGCCTCTCAGAAGAAACAAAATAAAAACACTAAAAGACAGTATCCTTCTTCATTTCAACACATGATTGAGGAAAATAAAAATGATACACGTGGGTCCAGCACTGTGGCATAGCAAATTAAGCCACAGCCTGCAGTGCTGGCATCCTATATGAGCGCCGGTTCAAGATATGGCTGCTCCACTTCTGATCCAGCTCTTGGCTATGGCCTGGGAAAGCAGTGGAAGATGGCCCAAGTCCTTGGACCCCTGCACCCATGTGGGAGACCCGGAAGATGCTCCTGGTTCTTGGCTTCGGATCAGTGCAGCTCTGGCCATTGCAGCCAATTGGGGAGTGAACCAGCATATGGAAGACCCCTCTCTATCTCTCCTTCTCTCTCTGTGTAACTATGACTTTCAAATAAATAAATAAATAAATCTTTAACAAAAATGATACATATATGCCTTTATGTTATTTTGCCTTAAAACACATACACTTCACTAATCTTTTGATATGGGATGAAGGGCTTCTATTTTGGTATGTGTCTACAGGTAGGAGTTCCATAAATCACTTTCATTGGACATCTTCAATAATTTCCAGTTTGGAGCTTTATAAAGTTAAGTTAGGGATTAACTTAACCCTTAAGAAACAATCTGGGAGGAGATTCTTTCAGTGTTGCTACATTTCGCTCCCCTATCTTTGTTTTCTTGCCTACAGCTAATCCAAAAGTACAACTTTGCAGCTTATCTTTCCAAAGCATCAATCTGTTTTCATGGAAAACAAAACTCTTTTTTTTTCATCCATGTCCTATTATTTAAGTCACATCTAATTAAATAAATTATACTAACAAGTACAATTGGCATAAATAGGCTTGAGAACAAACACAATGACACCTGCAAGCACTCAGCTTAGGTGCAGGAGTGTGTGGACATGTCAGTGCATCCTACTATTGAAAAATGTTCAGTTTTCTGTGAACCTCAGTCACTGTATTTTTCTAGAAGAAACAGAAAATGTGGATTATACAGGTCAGTCAGTTAAAAGAAAAGATATTGAGAGTGAATGATGTCGTATTTGGGGGTGAGATAATATATGAACTGAGAGAGACTTTTAAAAAATGGTAAGGTTTTGCCAACTCTCCTCTCACCAAAGTGAGTGGTATGTAAATTTGAAAATTTAAAGGCAGAGAGATGCATGAAATAACATGGTATGTTCAGAAAATTATAAGCATCTGTATTGCTGATTTTAGGTGACGTAATAGAAGAGTGAGAAAGGTTGTAATAGAAGATGCTGAGCACAATCAGGTAGCAACATGATTTTGCACATTCTCCTTTTCATGCCCATCAGAGTGTGTTAGCCACATGGTTGGTCTTCCATTGCTTCATTAATAATTAGTAGATACTTCCCAGGTCAAGGAATAGAAGTTGCTGTCAGGTGGGAGAGATGGATATGTACATGAATAAATCCAGGAGAAAGTGCTAAGTGCTGAAATCAAGGGATATTAGGAAGAATAGGGGAAGTGTGCACACACATACACACACACATACACAAACACAAGCAATGACTGCTGGATCAAGAAGAGATTCCTGTGGATGGTGATATCTAACCAGTGTCTTCAAGGATAACGGGAAGCTAGACAGGAGAGTGATGTGCCAACCTACTGATGGACCAAGCTGCATGGGCTGATGCTTCTGGCTGCATGAAGTATTCGCTTCCTACCCTGTTGTTCCTTGTGCCCCTTTCCAGAAGCGTCCCAGCCTACCTCTGAGGACCCAAGCACAGCTCACAGAGGAAAACTATTGGCAGCCAGATATTATAAGGGCAATACTGACTCCATCACCAGGAGATTGCCCAGAGAGCTGAGTCAGCCACAGGAAAGTCTGCACTCCCAGGCAAAAGTCATGCTCTTCTACTATTTCTTGGGTGGAATCCAGTCCAACATTATTTCATCAACTTTGTATTACTTTAACATGAAATGCAGTTATTAGTATACTCACACATTACACAACATAGAAGCAACTAGGGCATTTATAGGAGTTCATTTCAATTCTCAAAACCCTTTAGTGAAGGGGCCAGCACTGTGGCGCAGCGGGTTAAAGCCCTGGCCCGATGCGCCAGCATCCCATATGGGCACCAGTTTGAGTCCCAGCTGTTCCTCTTCCGATGCAGCTCTCTGCTATGGCCTGGGAAAGCAGTAGAAGATGCCCCAAGTCCTTGCCCCTGCACCCATGTGGGAGACCCAGCAGAAGCTCCTGGCTTTGGATCGGCACAGCTTCAGCCGTTGCAGCCATCTGGGGAATGAACCAGCAGATGGAAGACCTCTCTCTGTCTCTACCTCTCTCTGAAATTCTGTCTTTCAAATAAATAAAATAAATCTTAAAAAAAAAAACCCTTAGTGAAAATAAGAGTTACATAAGTTTAATGTCAGGCCAATCATTCACTTTGGTTAATTAATTAGCTGAATATTGCATCCTTCAACTGGTTCTTTTAGAAGATGTTTAGCAAGGTAGAAGGAAAGAATCTACATCACTGAGAGAATTAGATTGTTAGCAAATATCCAACTAAATTTAGCTAGACTTTAAGAATTATATTATTATTATTATTATTTTAATTTGAAAGGCAAGAGAGAGAGCTCCCATCTGCCAGCCTACTCCACAAATGCCCATGAAGAGTGGGACTGGGCCAGGCCAAACACTTGTTTCAGGTCTCCTATTGTATGGAAGAGACTCAGGTACTCCAGGCTGCCTCCCAGGATCTACATTTAGGAAGATGGAGTCAGGAGACAGAGGGAGGTATTGAACCCAGACACTCTGATATGGGTCTTCTAGGTCTCATGCCCACCCAGCAAGAATTACACATTTTAAAGAAATAAAGAGGGAAAGAAGGAAAAAGGAATAAAAAGCAAAAAAGAAGGAAAGAAAGAAGGAGGTGGAAATTGAGATATTTGGCTTAAATTTGAGCCAATATCATAAATCGGTTATAATTAATTAAAGGATAGAAAAAGTTCATTTAAAAATAACTTATGGGGCTGGTGCTGTGGCGTGGTGGGTAAAGCCACTGCCTGCAGTGCCGGTGTCTCATATGGGCGCTGGTTCAAGTCCCAGCTGCCCTACTTCTGATCCAACTCCCTGTTATGGCCTGGGAAAGCAGTGGAAGATGGCCCAAATCCTTGGGCCCCTGCATCCATGTGGGAGACCTGGAAGAAGCTCCTGGTTCCTGGCTCCTGGCTTTGGATTGGTGCAGCTCCAGCCGTTGCAGCCATCTGGGGAGTGAACCAGCAGATGGAAGACCTCTATCTCTCTCTGCCTCTGCCTCTTTGTAACTCTGTCTTTCAAATAAATAAATAAATCTTTATTAAAAAACAACTTATATGGAGTTATAGAGTAACTACTTTTTAGCATAACTGAGTAATGTGTTGATATAATAAATATATAATTATGAGGGAAAATCATAGACACTGTAAATAGATAGTTAAATTGCAAAGAAATAAAATATGTTGAACTTATCTTAGTTCATTAGTAGGTATTAGACCTTCCAAAAGGATTATATAAATTTGGGCATTCACACCATAAAAAAATGAGTAAAACAACAATCTTTGTCTCTCTGTCCCTTCCTCTCTTTCTCCCTTCTCCCTTTCTGTCTCTATTTTAGGTTAAAGACATAAAAACCTCTAGTAGTGCCCAATTTATGGGCCTTTGGCCTTCTAAAAGTATTACGAGAGATTATATGAATTCTAACATTTTCTGAAAAAGTAACAGTTTTATATAATTGTTACTATTTTTCAAATGTATGTAAGTCCTATAGTGAACAATAAAATTCATATTCATTTAAAATGGTATCAAATCCAATTATTGATCTTCATATAATACTATTTTTGGTTTTGTTTTGTTGTTGTAGTTTTTTTAAAATATTTGTTTTATTTATTTGACAGGCAGAGTTACAGAGAGAGGTAGAGACAGAGAGAAGTCTTCCATCCACGGTTCACTCCCCAGATGGCCACAACGGCCGGAGCTGTGCCAATCCAAAGCCAGGAGCCAGGTGCTTCTGCTGGGTCTTCCATGCGGGTGCAGGGCCCAAGGACTTGGGCCATCCTCCACTGCCCTCCCAGGCCACAGCAGAGAGCTGGACTGGAAGAGGAGCAACCAGGACTAGAACCCGGCGCCCATAAGGGATGCCGGCGCTTCAGACCAGGGTGTTAACCCACTGAGCCACAGCGCTGGCTCCCATATAATACTTTTAAACATCAAATACTAAATATAATTACAGGCATAGGGATATTATTAAGTTGCATAAAGATTGGGAACTACTGCCTATTATAAAAATGTGCACTTGGCCAAAATTATTATATTTACTGCTAAGACAAACTTATGCTTGAACCCTATAATCTCCCTATTTTTTAAAGATTTATTTATTTATTTGAAAGGTAGAGTTACAGAGAGGCAGAAGCAGAGAGAGAGAGAGAGAGAGAGAGAGAAAGGGAGAGGTCTTCCATTCGCTGGTTCAGTCCCCAGATGGCTACAGTGGCTGGAGCTGTGCCAATCTGAAGCCAAGAGCCAGGAGCCAGGAGTTTTTTTTCCGGTCTCCCATGTGGATGCAGGGCTCAAGCACTTGGGCCATCTTTTACTGCTTTCCAAGGCCATTGTAGAGATCTGGATGGGAAGTTGAGCAGCTGGGACTCAAACCAGTGCCCATACGGGATGCCAGCACTGCAGGCAGCAGCTTTACCCGCTATACCACAGCGCCGGCCCCTAATTTCCCTATTCTTAAAATCCAATCTTGTCTTTATTAAAAACAAACAAACAAAAACAACTCTTGTTTTTCTTTTCATTTGTAGTTTAGAAAGACAGTTCTGTCTGGGCAGGGGAAGTTCTTGCCTCTGAAGCCACACAGCTTCTTAGACTGTGTTACATATCGTAATCCACTGAGGAGCCACACACCTGCCTAAGACCTTCAGAACCTGGGGGTCACAGGCATCTGCAGTTTCCAAAGTTTCCTGTTGGGAGAATCTCTGGCCCTCAGAAGTCAGGATGGGTCAAGTCACTTGGAGCAGTTGTT